ACTCTCATTCCCAATTGTTGGTTTGAAAATGTGTTCCCTCCCTACTTTGGCATTGAAATCTCCTAACAAAATTTTCATAGGGTACTTCAGGAATTTATCAAATACATGTTCTAGTTCTTCATATAATCTATCCTTTATGTCGTCAATTTTATCTTCTGTTGGGGCGTGAACATTCATAACAATGATATCACACCAGTGACCTTTTAGTACTATATATGATATCCTATCACTAACGAACTCTACCCTCTTAACTGGTGATACAATTGTCTTATGAATGAAAAACCTTTACCTAATTCATGATTTTCATTCCCCTTTCCATAGAAAAATGTATAGTCTCCTGCTGGTGCGATGCCACCTCCATCCCATCTGACCTCTTGTACTCCCGCTAAATGTAACTTATATTTTAAGATTTCTTCTACCACTGCCCTAAGCGAATCTGCCCTATACAAACTTCATACATTCCAAGTGCCAAATCTCATATCCATTTTCATTAGCTTAGGTCGTTTATCCAAGGAATCAGTCCAGGTCCGAGGCTTTGTGTTCATTTTCGTAACATAATGATTTTTTACGGTGAGTTGTTAGCCCCAAGCCCAACCCCAAAGCTGGAGGGCCACCCCTTGTCGGCTGTCCGCGACTGCTTATTTCATATATTCACAGCTTCCCTCCAAAACTGGAGGGCGTCTCCTCCATCTGCAACCTGAGGATGCGCCATACCGTGGTGACAGGGATCCACCTAACATGGAAAGGATACATACTACTAAGGGCGTTCCGTATATAATGCTTCCTATTTTTTTTGTGTTAATATGTAACGTCTGAGCTGGATGTTGGTGGTGTTGTAGTAAAGGTTGAACCTTCCCGCCAACGTATTGTTAATTTGGTTGTTTTGCGACAGATAGCGACAGCAGAGCAGTCTACCAAAATGGCGTCCGACACAGAAGTGCATACGAAACAGAGATGTGTTATTGAATTTCTCACTGCCGAACAAATTGCACCCACTAACATCCATCGATGCTTGCTAAAGGTGTACGGAGACGATACAGTTGATGTCAGCACAGTGAGTCGGTGGGTAGTGCGTTTCAACAGTGGCGAAAGTGAAGTGCACAACAAGCCACGCCCTGGGCATCCCTGCTCAGCCGCTACTCCTCACAGTGAACAGCGCCTCGATCAGCTCATCCGTTCAGATCAGCGGATAACGACCAGAGAACTGTGTGCATGGCTTAATATCAGCTGTAATGCATTGGAAACGATGTTGGGGAAGCTGGATTATCGCAAAGTTTGTTCCAGGTGGGTCCCGCGGATGCTTACACCACAAAACTCATCGAATGGAAGTCTGTCATGACCTGTTGCACCAGTTTGAAGCTGAAGGTGACAAGTTTCTGGACAGCATTGTCACCGGAGATGAGACGTGGTGTCACCACTACGAGCCGGAATCCAAAAGACAGTCCATGGAGTGGTAACACCGCTCTTTTCCAACCCGCCTT